CCCAAAACCCCAAAACCCCAAAACCCCAAAACCCCAAAACCCCAAAACCCCACAGGAATCTTGATTTGATTGGTGGATGATTTTCGCATGAATATATATTGATCGCATTTATAATTATTAAATAGGGTTGCGGTCAAGAATTACGGCTAAGCGAACATACGGATCCCAAGTTAGGATCTTTACAAAGCTTAGGGGAAAGTCTCCGAGCCACAACAAATACCTAGAAAGTAGGGCCCTTGACTGGGTGGGTTGTGCTTCACACTGGCCAGAATGAGTATTTACTCATTTGAGTGTTTGTAGCAAGGGTCCTCTTCGGAGTTGATGCTTGCTATTTAGCACCCAGATGATGTGCTTTAGCCTTCAGGTGTGGTCACAACTTTTAGCTATATCAAAGTTATGTAATTGCCGCTACCAAGGTAACTTGGCCGGTGGTAACAGAATGGAGCTCACTCTGATTGCAATCCTCACCCTGTAATCCAAGTTTGTACTCTTTTAAGCGAGATTTGCAAAGATCCCGCTTAGTGAGTGGCTTTCATTGACTTGCAAAAGTTAATATCAAAAGCAAACAAACTAAGCACTCATCATCATTAGATGAATCAAGGTAATGATTTATTCATGGCACCTGATTAACACGACAATGATGCTTAAACAACTTTCGTTCTACTGCATGAAACGCTTTAGTTTCACTGAAGAAGAAAAGTTAAAACACTCTGATTGATATATCTAATAGCCATTATTTTATCAATCGATTCTTAACATATTTAATTTAGGTAAGTTAAAAACATTCAAAAACAAGAGAATGGGTTGTGACTTGCTAAAGCCTTGTCTGGCTCTGCAAAGATATGTATAAATATGATGATAAGCATGCACCACACTGAGTTACTCGTTGATGAGAAAACCATTAACACCATCTTTCGACTGAATTATACATCACAACCCATTGCTCAAAGCAACATGCTTTCAAAATTGAACTTTGTTATTAACCTCTTAATTTTAGGTATGAACAAGAAATCAGGCAAACTTCTAAGTTAGACAACCTTTCTCATATATAACAATACAAACTAATTTATTAATCATTCAAATCTCAAATACTATTAATCTTAACTAATGGGGTTTTGGGGTTTTGGGGTTTTGGGGTTTTGGGGTTTTGGGGTTTTGG